TTTCTCATGGTTCGTGAGGGGTCGTAAGGGTGGAAATGTTTGATGTCTTGAACGGGTCCAGGATAGCACGTGGGACAACCGTGGAAGGCACAACCAAAAAATTCGTAGGCGACGTTGTTGTCCCGATCATAACCATCCAAACTGTACGGTCCAACTTTTATTTCTCCTCCATTGCCTGCGTGCCTGATGTTGGGTTTGGTCGTTCCGTTCCGTAATGAGGCTAAAAATCGAGTATGTTGTTCCCATTCTAACCATCTCAATGCTTTGTTGGACTGCTGTCGGGGTTGGAATCGCCGCCAATCTGTACCCATTCCGGAATTCTGCATCAATGCTCTAGGAATGATGGAAATAGTGTCCAGGGGCAAATAATGCGTTCGGTACACTCGATTACACGCCGCTGCCAACGTCATGCTCGAGGCTAGTGGATCGATTCCGGTGTCGTTAAGGAAGATGCGACGAAACTCTCCACAGCTTCTTCTCAAAATATCGACGTCGCTCTGGCAATAGGCTAGAATTTCTCTGCTGAAATCAAACGTGTCCTGTTTGCGTTCGTGGTACCATTTTAAAAACTTTTCCCTCTCCTTGGCGTTCATCCCATCAGGGTCGTAGGTTTCTTGAGGCGGATAGGGTCCAACGTAGCTGGCGTTTTCGGGTTTATTGAAAAAATGCGGAAAATAACCCTTCTTCATTTCCGTGAGGCCAAATGTTGCCGGCATGCTCCGAAGAGGCATCGGTAAAAAGTTTAAAGAATCCACAAACTTTAGGCATCCAATGGATAAAGTCATTACTTTACCACCGGTCATAATCACTTCGGGAGCAGCAATGGCGTGTTTGTGAATGGTCTGCATCATCAATATACCATCGTAACCCTTGAAATTATGGGCTACACAGATCACTTGGGATGATTTCTTGACGTTGCTGTTTGCGGTTCCTCCCTCAACCATTCGACGACCAGCCAGACGAATAAACCAACGACCCACTTGGTCTAGCGTATCGGGTCCCTTCATTACCATTTCTTTTTCTTGGTTCCAATACGAATCGCAGTATGGACAGGGATCTTTGCTTTGAATGCAGAAATGACAACAGAGCTGCAAAACACACAAGTTGGGTATGTGATCTCCCGAATCCTGCTGACATTCAAAGTCGAAAAAGACAAAACGCGTCAGATCTTTCCGTTGCAGTGCTGCTATTTGATCTTCTTTGTTTCCATTGACATCGATCGGACATTTCGCTTTCTGAATAGAACACCACCGATCGGCCTTGGTGTGAAAACACCACAAACTTTGCAATGGTATTCTCCGCAGACGTGCTGGTCCAATGTTCTGTGCATTTTGATCGTGTCCCATTCTTTTCCGCATTTCAAACACCGCTGCCATCGTTCACACACAGAAACTGTCGTACGAGGGGCTTTGTGACGGTCGAAACAGGACTGACTGTTA